CTAAATATGCATAGAAAACAGAAACATTTTGATTTAATAGAAATAAATCCCATTTATCCATTTTAATGGGTGAAAAAAGTATTCATACATTAAAATTTCAGACTTTAAAACTTTTAAATTGCTTTAATCCTCTAGATTATTCAAGTGGAATATTCTAGAGTCTTCCAGTAATGCTATCAGTAGTTATTTTTAGACTGAAAAATACTAACAGAACACTCTGTAATTGATATACGTGCAAGAAGGTTTTCATCCTGCCAAGAGGTAAAGTATTGACAAATTCACGAAAGGGACTGATTGTTAAGCTCTGGATAGAAGGTAAAAGTTACACAAAAATCTCAGACAAACTGAATGTTGCTTTTACTACCCTTAGTCCATTCATTGTAAGGTATAAAATCCTCAAACTCTTTGAAAACCAAAGAAGAACAGGTGTTCCACGGAAGATTTCTTCCAGATCTTTGAAGAAATTAATGCGTCAAATTAAGCAAAATCTAATGCTTACTCGTCAAGAGTTGCTGGTTGATTTGCTTTCATGAGGAATCTGTTACTCAACGGACAATAAGCAATGCAATTCATAGGAACAATCTAAACTCACTCCCCCACGGAAATCTCCACTGATATTGAAAAGACACAGAGATGCCAGGTTGAAATTCGTTCATGAACATAAGGATAAGGAAAAATCGTATTGTCAAAGAGTATTATGGAGAGACGAAACCAAAACTGAGTTATTTCGAAGTAATTCTAGAAATCATGTATGGAGGAAAGATGGCGATGCTTTCAAACAAAAGAACACAGTACCAACAGTGAAATTTGGTGGTGGCAACATCATGGTTTGGGGATATTTTTCTGAAAAAGGTACTGGCAGCATATCCGTAATAGATGGTAGAATGAATGCCGCAGCATATCAAAATATTTTGGAAGCAAATTTAATGATTTCGGTTGAAAGTCTTGAACTTCTTCCTGATTGGATCTTCCAACAAGATAATGATCCTAAGCACATTGCAAAATCTAAAAATGGCTTGCTGAAAATAATATAAATATCCTGAAATGACAAAGTCAGTCCCCATATTTAGACCCAATCGAGAATCTGTGGCGTTATTTGAAAATTCAAATCCAATCGAAGGCTTCAACAAACATCCCGGATCTGAAAACCATATGCGAAGAAGAATGGAAAATAATATCAACTAAAATTTACAAATCATTAATTGAGAACTACAAGAAGAGGTTGGTTGCTGTAGAAGTCAATAATGGCTATTCTACAAAGTATTAAATGAAGATTATGTATTCTTTTATTGCATTGTACGAATACTTTTTTCACCCATTAAAATGGATAACTGGGATTTATTACAATTAAATTATTTTTTTCTGGTTTCTATACATATTTAGTTATGCGTCTGTGCAGAGTTAATTATATGAAAATTATATTTATTCATTAGTTGGAAATACAATCAATTAAAAAAATGTATGCATGTTTACATTATTTACATTATTCGGTCTGTTATATTCATCTTCATTGCCATATTCACAAAGTTTCGACCGTTGTACGCTTCGGCCCTCTTCAGGTGATTGAAATTTCGAACCCAACGCTTTATTTCATCCACGAATGGATGAGAATTTTTAAAAGATGGGATCAATAATTTAGATGTAATTAGGAGAACAGTCATTCATCAAGATGGTGCCTATTTCAACGAAATAAATTAGTTATTTAACCTTTCAGAAGAGCTTTATTCATTCTATATAAAGAGCGACATTTCATGCCTGACAACCGAATACTTTGTACTTTAGATGCGTGCCGTTCTACAAGAAGGGATTACCTTATCTCAACAATGTCTTGGATTGAAGCAGACAATCTTATGTTTTATCTGTTATAAGTTGTTATGCTATTCTGTTTTCTAACTTAAAATTGACGGCGTGAATATTTTGACAACTTCTGGCAGAATCCAGATTTATCATTGTCAGTACATGCTTCCCCAGAGCTGTGAGTAAGAATTGCATATATATATATATATATATATATATATATATATATATATATATATATATATATGTATGTATTGCCTTTTGCATATTAGTGAAGACAATGGTAACCTCCCTTGCCTGACGGATTATTAATCAGGTAGACTCCCTGTTGGCGGGAAAACAGATGTTTTTTTCCATTCATCTCTGTCCACGATTCGATTCCGAAGGGAAAAAAAAACGAGTTTGGTAAGTGAACAGCTGGAACAAGGGATTATAAATCGAAGAATTATTGGTCAGTTTTGGTGATTTTGGGCTCTTGACAACAACAGAGCGAGGGATAATGCTGAAATATGGAAATGCTAAATACATTAGTTTCTTTCGAAGAAATGGTAAATAGCACCCAACTAAGATCATTTTGATAGCTTTTTAATAAAATTGGAATTAGGACAGATTTCAATTTTGGAACAGGCGTCTAAATCTTTTGAGAAAAACCTTTAAAACGTCTTATATCTTGGGTAAGCTGGAATATCTTTCGCGTATGGGG